CTAGGGAATCGTTTAATCAAGAAACGACAACATGATATTTTTGTATCAACAGTGCACGGCTGCAAAAGAGAACCATGTTGTTGGGTCGAAAAAATGTTCGAACAGAAATGGATATCTCGATGTGTAAGAGATATAAAAATTTACCCTTATATCATGTGTCTAATAACCAACTGGTAATGTTTGAAACGTCGGTAAGAACAACACTAGCTTGTCACTTCTCGGGGTTCGCATGGTGTAGTCTTATACAACTCAAGGTTTTGGAAGAAATTCTGAGAAACACATCGACATACACATACTGATCCCCCGGGTCTGGACATAATGAAGAGACTCGTGGTAGTTAGTTTACACTTTTATGCTACAATTTACCCATCAGCAGCAAGAAACGTATTTTTCATAAATAAGCAATTACTGTACATGCAGTAGAGATTACAAATAAGATACAAACAATTAAAAATAAGCAGTATAGACAATGTTCAAGCCATATATTACGATTCATTTCTAAATGATTATGTGCACATGCTTCTTGTGCAGAAGAATATTTTTTATTACCCTGAAAAAAAGAATATAGCTGAACGGCAATAAAAGTTGATTCTGAACGGGAATGTCTCAAAACTGTTCCCAGAACTACGATGTAAGAATCAGACTGCTGAAAATTTATGAGAATGGTGACTAGAGTGTACAGATTCACGTCGAAAGTGTTTTAATCAATTTTTGGCTTCGAAATTCTGCGATACAGACGACATTCTGATTTTTAGCGACAATTCTACTGCAGACTGAGTAGTACTCGATGAAATACCTTGTACTTTTGCTCTGACAATTCGAATCAGACTGTAAAACAAGTGCAAAACAGAACTACGAATGCAGTGCGCTAGATCATTATAAAGTTACAGTTATTTGATTTTAAAGGACCAAGTCGTCGTTTAAGAGAAAACATCGCAATTGCGTCACATTCTGTTGATCAAAATAAGGAAGTAAAGAAAAGAAGTTTCTAATCGTCGGAATGTAGATCTTCCTTACCCTTACCGGACCAGATCTCGAATTTGGTACCTTTCGATTCTGGGTTTAAAGCCCTATCGACGGAGCAACATTGGTCCCAATTCGATCTAGGGGTGCACTAATAACCAGAAAGAAGTCTCAGAAGAGTTTGGAGCGAAGTTTGACGATCAGAATGTTCAGACAAAGTCCAGCATGGTTTTCATTCACGTAAAATGTTAAAACTTAACACGAGATGATAGTCTTCTTAATATTAAATACGGCGAAATGCACAGTTCGTAACAGGCTGTGAATTTAATCGTGCTAGGCCTGCAGAAGACCAAAGTTAGTTCAATTAAAATACTACACTGCGTATTATTGCGAAAGTAAACGTCGCTGAAAGTCAAAACGGCCATATTATTAAACCAAAGCATTTTCTTGTCTGAAAAGTTTTACCTGAAACTTTCTTAATTTATGCAAATGGATCTCGCACAAACTTAAAGCACCTCTGAAATCTTTGGTAACGAAGATGATAATCAAGCCTTTTCAATTAGAACTTTAGTAAAAGTGGGTTGATAGTTGTTAACAAATGGGTCTCATAGATTCATAGATGCAATACTCAAAACAACCACTCTGGCGTAATGCAAAGCGCCGTATTGTCTCCTCTCCTCCATCTTCATCCTCTGCTTCACTGGTGGTCTAAGGCTCCAAGGTGCTTCATGCCTTCTTAGATAAGCAGACGACACGACAATCACTAGAGCTATAACTAATATCTCCTGATTTCCAACCCATCAAAGCAACCTGTACAATTTCGTTAGTAGTTCATCAGAATGCATCGACTTTTCAGTTGCTACACCTATGCGACGACGTTGATTCTAAAATTGATGAAAGTAATGCTGAGCACATAAATTTTATAACATATGTGGGGGTCGATCTATCTCAAGATTTGTTCTGATCAGAGCAAGTGAAAATGGTTGCTGATAAAAAATGCGGAAGAGCGTGTTCTATATTGTTCATGTGTGGAAAGTGGAGGCTCCAAATTCCACTCATCACATTTTATTAAAGTAGTGCATTCTGCCATTTTTTACCTATTCCAATCATACATATCTTCTTTTCCTGACTTCTCAAAACCGATCTTAATGTTCTGTGCCGTCCTTTCCGTAGTACCTGCTTTAACTGCTAAGTTCCTGGCAAGAAACTTGTACAACGCCTCCTAAAAATCTGCTTCCGTTTGGGTACCGATGTTCTCTCCAACATTATCTGTTTTCTTCAGTTCAATACTCTCATATATCCCTACACTCAGATTTGAGATCAGAATTAAGTGTAAATCAACACTCAGACGGAGCTGATATAAAATTCAGTCATTTCTACCTTAGTTCGCATCATGGAAACTCCACCATTGCTTGCTGATAGATGCTGCAAACAGTCACTAAATATTATATGCAATTAGTATGCACTTATGCGTTTAGTTTTTTGTTGTTATTCTTTAGCGTTGAAAAGTAGAGTCATGATCCGCATGTTCAAGCAATAAAACATTGATTCATTCAATTCAGGACACATGGGTGATCAACTAGTTGACATGATTAGAGAATGTCCTACTGTAATTTCGTCCACTTTGCTATCACAGACATCCTTGAAGGTACCGTTCCACAGACTTCTAAAAAAAAAACGGTGAAGAGCCAAACGCTGTCGCTCGACCCTTGGAAATAAAAGAAGTTTTTTATATCCTTAAAGTAACATTTCTAATTTTCGACAAAAATTATAGTGACAAGCAATAAATGTATATTTTATGCCTCGTATGTGTAGGAACGGCTAAACTTAGAGATGTTACAATTGCACTACACAGTTACATAATGTCATTAGGAACATCAGCACAGATAGGTAAATCCGCTCTTACGAGATACCGATATCATCCAGGATGTCACTGATGACGTTAAAGCTAATTTGCACGACATTTATTAGATATATAAATTCTGAATTGTCAGGTACTAGTTCAGAACAAAACGCCGCGGTTGAGGAAGACACAGACGAAGAGTTGTTGCCCAAAGAATCTTGGAACACTGAACACACCAGAGATGCCGATGTCCCGCGTGATGTAGGTCTGAACGACAGCAACGTGCAATTATGTACATTTGCACATAAGTGTACATTTTTTGCAAAGAGCATTTGCCTCAATAAAACTAATCCATTACTTAATATTATCAGTGAAATTAACTAAGATGAGTAAATTTGCTAGTAGAAGATAGTGCAGCTATTCAAGATAGCAATGATGACTAAGCACGACCTTGCACTACGACATTTACTGCAGTCAATTGTGATCTCAGCGTATATTCTGCGGTATAGTTCTTGGAAACAAGCCAAATACAATTCGAAACGCTCGATGCAGCGGCGTCATCCTAAACGGATTTACGTCGTCCTCGATTTTTACGTTAATACAGTGTTTTCTCATCAAGTGTTTTGCACAGACTTCAGAATTTAATTTAAGGTTTAACAGTTCATCAGCTAAAAGACATTTTTCAGCAAAATGTATACGCAGCTGCAAACTTGACTCAAGCTTCTTAATATATGATTAAGGGGAGCAAACGAAGCAAGCAAGGTTTCACAGTAATGCAATCTGACATTCATGAATGAATGTTGGTGTGGTAGCGAAAGGCTTAGACAACAAAAGGTTTACCACTGATAGTATGAAAACATCATATCTTATATAGACAGATTGTACGTTAAATTCAACCACATTCTTCATAAAGTCCTGGTCTATTGCTCAAATCCATGAAATACATTGTTGCCTTTTAAAGTTTCCTTTAAAGAGAGTAAGTTACATCGGATTGGCAAAAATTACATTTGCGGCATCAATCCGCAACTATGTGATATGTTCCGCATTTGTTATCGTCAATGCATAAATTAACTTATTTATATGATAATATATATCGCTATTTATATGTTTATCCCTTTTAGATTATGCTTAAAAACGGAGTTTGCTGTAACCCCCTTTAAGCAGTAAACTTTCATCTCTTAACTCCAACTACAACGGAATAGTTTAGCTGACGAAATGCGTCAAGATGATAACCGACACGAAACGTACATGAATGCCAAAAGTCTCCTGATGCGCTTGCCAACCTGTCTGTTTAATAAATGTATTTGTGTCCCGTCAATGACCGGTGGTCAGCGTCAAAACGGCTGAAAATTCATGTATTCTTTCTCTTTCGGTTGATACTCGCAGTTCTGTGTCTCTGTACACTTCGACCGAGTTGCACGGCGTCAAGTAATCGTCGGTGGTAGAGACGGAAACGAACAGATGCAAGCGTCAGTTTCCGACGATGGCGACGGCGACCACGTCACAGTCTGCCTTCGGCGGACTCAAACGAGGAACAAGGAACAACACAAGTTTTGCTCAAGTGTAACTTTAAACTAGATATGAGTTACGAGTTCGAAGTTTTTACCTCGAAAGTCAAGTTTGTGCGACCGGTGGCGCTGCACGTCCATACAAGCGAATTGAGCAAGATAGTACGTTTGAAGAAGTCGCTGTAACACAACAAGAAGTGAAGAAAACAGTAAAAATCGACTTGAAAATTAGACTTGCAAAACTCACTCGTAGTCGCGAAACACCTCGCCAGTCAACCCACAGAAGAACACTTCCTCGTCGGGCTTCAGGTCGGTCGGCAACGGCGCTTTGTCGAACGGCTGCCGGTTGAGCAGCGGCATTTACGAGCGTTCCGGGGACGCGTCCACAGCCTGCTGTTGATAGAAAATCTCCGAACAAGGTCTTCAGGAGTCGGTCCTCGTACGATGTGCAAAAGCGGCTCGGATCCGACGACGGTTGCGCAGTTTTAGTCGTCGATTGCTCGGCCGCACACACAATAGCCAAGGAGGAGCAATCAATTCGCCATGCATTTGCGCGAAGGCAGTATAACGCGGCAGCGCTTCGTACATTTTCCGTTATTTCGCTCGGTGCATTGTAGGTTAACGCAAGTCGAATCGAGAAAACAGCACCTAACCTGCACATCGAGGGATCCAATTTTCTAGCAG